AAACCCATGTTGATTGGCATTAATTATATTACTCTCCTTTAATTCTTTATTTAATCAAGTCCCCTAGCAGACGCTCCATTATCTTGCCTGGGATTGATGTCAGACTGACAGGCCTATAATTGTCTGGGACACCCCATTTACCCTTTTTAAATATTGGCACATTAGTTTTCTGCCAGTCTTCTGGAACCTCCCCATGTTCCGAGACTTACTGAAATGAGTCCCCTTTTCTGCAGTTCTAAGTGCCCCCAGATTCGGGGGTGTTGTCTGGGCCCAAAACCCACCTCTAATTAACTCCTGTTTGTGATGATCAATTCTTTCTATTGCACCTGAGCTGAGTGGTGATTTACATTCCCATAATGCCTTTCATCCAACAGATTAAAGTGCTTCACAGGCACATTTATATGGGGCAAATCCTCTCCCACCCTTTGTGGGCATGAAGAGCCCTAGCTGCAGAAAAATAGGGTTCCACTACACAGGATATAGGTAGTGCTCACTGCCAGCATAGTACGGCGTAGCCCCACAGGGCTTCCTGACCCTAAATGGCAGAGGTGTAAGGGACCGGCTAGTGGAGGTGGAGAAGGAAGAGCAAGAGGCAGGACAGATGAATTCATGACTAAAGAGGGTCGTTTCGCAATTGGGATGAAGCAGCCGCTTCTGGAGAGCAGACAGAGGAAGAGAAAGAAGCAACGTCTCTTTTAGATCCCCCTAAAGAGAGTGAAACTGATGTTGTTTATCCATCTTGCTAAATTAACTCACCAAGTGGATTAATTGGCAATCAAGGGTTTGCCATTAATACAATTTGTGGTGTTGACACAAAACTGAGCTCACACCAAGCAGGGTTCCACCCTGCATCAAAACTTCCATGCCCACAAATAACTTTAGTCAGAAGTAGGATTTTCCCCAGGCCGTATACATCTATTCCACCCAGAAAAGGCTAAGCGAGCAACAGCGAGCCCAGACTAATGGAACATAGGATACTGGACTAGATGGATAACGGGTCTGATCCATTCCTAAGTCAACTCCTGTCTCTGATAGTGGCCAGTATCAGATGCTCTTGAGGCCAATGCAAGAAACTCCACAGTAGACAGATGTAGAATAATCTGCCCCTGTGAGGGTCTCATCCTAATCCCCACTAGTCAGAAACTGGTTTAAGGTGAAATACGATGTTTTACATCCCTTCCAGCTTCAGCTCATCTGTGGGATGTAAATATCATCATCCCCATTTTACAGATAGGTAAACCGAGACACAAAGAGATTAAGTGATTTGCCCAAGATTATGAGACTAATCAGTGGCAGGGCAATATTAGGACTCTTGAGTCTGTCATTGCTTTTATCCCTCCTGCTCTAATCACAACGTGCTCCTTCCAGATGGGGTTAAATGGAGTTCGTCCACCCCTAGCTGAATGTGTTGGCGTCTGAAATGTGAACATATGGGTGGTAGTGAAGCGTTCTCTCCTGCTGCATGTTTTGCAAGTGAGGACAGGGGAAAGTTTTTTCTGCTTTAGAATAAAATAATCCTAAAGAAACAAATGTAATTTAAGTGGATATTTTTGTCTTAAAGTAATTTTCCCCTCAATATATCTTCTTGTAATTACTATTTAATGATTGTAAAGGAGGAAACGGTTCCCTCTGATTATAGGCAGCAAGGGGTCCCCTCTGAATATAGGCAGCAAGGCCATCTGTTAAATCTGTCACGTTATTAACATGACTCAGTTTAAGAGAGGGATTTAACTACTTTACAGCTAGCATTTCCCTTGGACTATATCTGTATTCGCTATGCATTCAAGTTTGTGTGGCTTGTAATCACTTGTTTGGAAAATAATTACTGAGCTACAAGATCTACAAGTGTTTTAAGAGATCCTAAAAACTAAACCCTAAAGGGTCCTTGCCAGGAAGCCAGTTAGTGAGCTCCTGAGTCTATTAACTTTGGACTGAAAAAAAAATCATCATATCTTGGACCTGAACACACCCACACTTT